GGTTACCCCCCCCCCGTACCCCCCACACACACACACTAGAACTCATACGGGAATATTCTCAAACTACAACCCATACTCGATGGGAACCCCACCCTGAAAGAAATCTTTCCTGAAGCCACTCTTCTGGCCTTCAAAGAACCACCCCAGCCTCTCCAAGCTCATCATCAGAAGCAAGCTCCCCACAGACCAACACTAGTCAATGTGACACTAGACCCTGCCAGAGCAACAGATGCAAAAACTGCAGACATATCTGCAGTGCTACAGTGATCAACACCCTCCACAGCACACCTTTCAAGATCCATGGGTCCTATACATGCCTATCACAAAATGTTGGGTGCACCTCATCCAGTGCACTGAATGCCCCGTTAACAACTATGTGGGTGAAGACAGACACAATCACTATTATCTTGAATGAACTCTCATAGAAAAAATGAGAAAAGACAAAAATATATCACCTGTGGGTGAACACTTTTTTCACAAAACAACAATTCTACATCTGACCTCTCAGTTCTCATTCTCAAAGGAAATCTGCACAACACCTTCAAAAGAGAAGCCTGGGAGCTTAAATTCATAACTTTACTAGACACTAAAAATCTTGGACTGAATAGAGATGCTGGATTTATGGTTTATTACAACAATCTGTAAGCCACTATCATCATTCTGGCCCTCTCCCCCTCCAGCTCCCTTTTTTCTCTCTCCCTTCCTTTCCTCCTTGTGACTGGAGAGGTGTTAATGGGCCATTTCACCTTGAATGGCCCCTTGAACTATGTGTTAACTACTTATGCTAAACAATCTGTTCCACCTTGTTTTTAGCTGTAATACTCTGAGTACATTCCCAGACCTGAAGACAAGCTGTGTAAGCTCAAAAGCGTCTCTTTCACCAACAGAAGCTAGTCTAATAAAGGATATTACCTCACTCGCCTTGTCTCTCTGCCAATACCTGTATTTGTCAGATATTTTCTAGCTCACTGCTCATAATAGTGGATACTTTTACTCAAAAGTATATAACTAGAAACAATATTTATACAAGAAGGTTGTCAGTAGTCTGGAAGTTATTTGTAATCTAAATGGGTTTTTTAATTAACATTTTTTTTTATTATTATAAGGCTGCTGTATTAGAGGAACAGATACGAATGCATCTTCAGTGCTGTTTGACTCTGTGTAGCTTCTGGGACTTGAATCTACCTACTGTCACCATACTCTGGGAGTATTACAGCAAGAATCTGGTTAGTAAATGCATATGTGAAAAACGAGAGTTACAAGTGTGCCCCCCCTCTATCTGAGAAATTACTTTATGCTCTGAACTACTTGAAATAGCAGTCACATTTGTGGAAAAAGTTCTAATCTGTTTTAGCTCAACGTGGGTTGAAATGTCCCATAAATTTGCTACCATGTAACAAAAAAATATTCTTGAACATCTCAATTTCTAGATATTGCACATGTCATGGGGGAAGTTTGGGGATGTGTTAACCTCCATTATCATTTGTGCTCAGGGCTGAGAAAAGTGAGATTTCCTAAAGAAGTTCTGTACGCAGTGACAGTGCGTTTTGTTCTGGGTGGCAGTAGTGATATGAAGATGACTTTTTGTTGTTTGTATGAAGGAATTTACATAGTTATTTAGCACTTAACATTCTTTTCTGCTTTTACTTTGTCTTCCAGAATAGTTCCTTCACCATTCCGTGGCTTGGTCTAAAGGGTCTAGCAAGTGTTAGTAAAACTCCTTTGTCTATGCTTGAATTGGTGAAAAACTGCTGTTCTGACCAGCAGAGCCCTGACCTGTATAAGTCCAGCAACAGTTACCTAATTTTTCTCTGTATTTTGGCACAAATGATGAAAGAAGCAATGGAGAGCAATGTAACCCATCCTTGGAAACAAATTAAAGGAAGGTATAGTAATCTTTTAACTTGGCAGGTGCCATATACCAGTAGTTCCAATAATATCCTTTTCTTTCTTTCTATAGCCATTTCAACTTTTCCATTTTTAAGTTTTTCCTTTTTTGTGAGGTTTTAGTTTTGTTACTTTGTGAGTTTTGAAATATGGCAATAACCATAAAGGAATAATTAGGCTGTGTACAAAGACATATGAAAAATAGTTAACTGAAACATTAGTTTTTCTAATTTAATATAGGTGTGTGATGAACTTGTGTAATCAGGCGCGGACTCTCCCCTGCGGCGCCTCCTGCTGGTCGTCTCAGGAATTAGCTTGCCAGCCTCCAGAGCACCCTCTGCAGGCCAGGTGTCCCGCCTGTCTTTGGCCCCGGTGCCCTTGACTTAGGTGCTGCCCCCCTGGCAGTACCCCACTCTTTCTCTCTGGGTCTCCCCACCCAGGGGAACCCCCACCCCTTCTCCCAATGTTGCCTCAGTCATGGCTACTGCCAGTCACCATCTAGCCCCCACACCCTGGGGCAGACTGCAGTCTATCAGCCAATCAGCACCGGCAACAAGGGGTTTGGACTGGCTGCCTTTACCCACCCTCAGGCTGCCCCTCTGCAACCCCAATACCTATATGGCCTAGGACCAGGCCCTGCAGCCTGGGGAGTTGCACTGGCCTAGGGCTTCCCCACCCTCAAGGCCTTTCCCCAGCCCTGCTTCACTCTAGGTCCCCAGGTGAGCTCCCTGCAGGCAGACTTGTCTCCCTCTCTCCTGTCAGAGGGAGACTCCTATGCACTGGCTACCCTGGCCTTCTTATAAGGCTGAGTGGCTCAGTGTAGGGGCGTGGCCCCAGCTGCAGCCACTTCCCCAATCAGCTGGGGTTTTTGCTCCTTTTTACCCAGCCCCTTGCCCTCTGCAGGGCTTTTCCAACTCCTTCAGGGCTGGAGCGGGTAATCACCCCGCTACAACTTGCAATCTTGTATTTTAAGAAGAATAACAACTTCTGCTTCTGCTGATCAGTGAATGTGCTATAACTTTTCAAATGACTTGCATTTACAATGGTTTAACCTCTAAACAAGTAGATTTTCACTTCAGACCACAAATAAATTGATTAGTATTGTTATTGGATGTAGCAAACTATTAGATTAAGTTCTGGGTGTTTTTGCAATATCTTTATTAAGATTTTATTGGAATACAATACATTTATTACCAGAAAGGAAAGTGTATTGTGATAAACAAGGTAAAAGTTATACATATCACATTTCTGTGTTTCTCTTGTTATACTCAAAAAAGTTAAGGTTTTTAAAAAATGCTCACACGACCAAGTTTGCTGAATCAGTGTCTTGTTTTATTTAGCAATTTTAATTAATTTGCTTTATTGAAAAGAAACTATACTTAATATTTCTCTTATTTTAACTTGCTTTTTAATTCCTTAATTTAAGAGGGGGAATAATAATAGATAATCAATATCATGTGCAAGTCTGCTCAACCAGCATTCATCATTTCTACCTTGAATAAGTCAATTATACAAGTAACAAAATTTTAACAGCCTACAGCTATGATTTTGGGATGAACTCTGTTTTCGGCAGCTAACCAAGCATTAATTGGTGCATGAAAAACATAAATGCCTGTCAGTAGTAATTTACTACTAAACAACATTAATGGGATTGCTATAATTTTTGGTGGCTAGATTTTAAAACCTCAACACCATTTCTAACTATTTTTCCAGGTGAAAGGATAGGAGGAAATTAGTGTTTATGGAAGTTAACTATTATGCGTAGAACGGGTCGTAAATGGAGGGTGAAGAGTATACCATATTTTTTAACACCAAACAGTAAAAATTTGGACAAACCATGCTGAGTCCTTTGTTCCCTCATATCTTAAGAAAAATATTTAAAATATGGTAAAATTTCTTTAGAGTACAGTCTAACAGTCTCCATGTTAAAGGGCACCTACGTGAAAGCTTGGGATATGCAAAGTAGCAGCACTTCTTCTTGCTACACTTGACCACCAGTTATATGACCAATGCAGCTTAAAGCCCCCCATCACACTTTCCCACTAAATAGAAATTGCACTCTCAAGTGCCTCCGCCCTCTGTCAGTGTCCTCTCAAACAGGAAGGGCGTTGCAGTTTACACAAATGAGTGTGTTTGGGCCATTCCAGATTTTTGGGGAAAGGAGGCGAGCATTCTGAAGAAAAAAGGTGGTCAATAGGGAATGCTGTGTCAACAGCCCCCGAACCTCCCTCCCACCTCTTTTATCACAAGGGGGATGAAGCTCAAAGGTCTTATCACAGCAGTGGCAGTATAGCATAGGAGAAGAGGTATTTTTTCATGTACGGTGTTCTCAAGCCATTGTGAGCTTTATAAGTCAAAACAGACTTCTTAAACTCCACCTGGAAACCAGTGAGCATCCATTGCGGAACCTGGAGCACTAGTAACACATGCTGCAACTGAGAGACCCCACTTAATATTCAGGTTGCTGGTTCTGTACCAGCTTAAGTTGATGGTGATGTGTTCAGTTCTGAAAGGGGGAAAGGTATGAAGGAAACCATCTGAGCCAAAGCTTTGTTCCAGTAGTACTGGCTAATCTAATCTTTCTGCTAGAGGTGAGGCGCTTGCATCAACAGTAGTTGACATGGGGAGAAAGGTTAGGTTTCACCGTGGGTTGGAAATCCCTTGGCATGCATCCTGGATTGGGAAAAAGAAGGGAAGGAATTAGCTTGTTCCAGGTTAAAATGATGGGGGAGAGAAGAGAAATTTAAAAATAGAGAAGAATTGCTTAAAGTAAGTGTGTGGAGCTAGAGTAAAGGTGTAAAATGGGACTAGTACAGCTCTTCAAGGAGATGGAAAGAAATATGCTTTAACATAATTTAAACTTTTTTGTATATATTTTTTTATTTTGTAGAATTTATTCCAAGTTCCATCAGAAAAGAATGCGAGAGCTGACAGAGGTGGGGCTGCAGAACTTCTTTAATCTTTTCCTTGTGTTAGCGGCTGTTGCAGAGACAGAGGACATTGCAAGCCGGGTGTTGGATCTCCTGGATTTTCTTAGCCCAACCTCCACCAGCACGTCTCAGAGAGCTCTAATTTGGAGAGGCTACTTTGCCTTCCTTTTGATGTATATTGAGAAGAACATGGACATCAGCGTTCTAGCTGAGAAACTTTCACATGCTTTCTGTGAAAAGGCAAAGGAGTTTTTGGTCACCAAGAATGATCACACACACAAACAAAATCTCTGGACACCACTTTCCACTTACATTGATGGTGTTCAAGAAGTGTTTGAGACCAGCTGCTACTTGAACCTTTCCCAGGAAAAGTTGTTGAATGATGGATTTAGTATGCTGCTCCCGGCTTGTCGAGGAACTGAACTCAACATGGTCCTAAACTTCCTGCAGGTGGTTCTGTCCAGGCTCAGGTAAGTTATTCAGATAAATCATGAACACAGACTGGTATCTTGCTTTGTTTTTGTCACTAAATTGTAGTCATTGAACCAATAAGAGGTGAAGCCATTTTAGATTTGGTATTGGTGAGTAATGAGGACCTCATAGAAGAACTGGTTGTAGGGGACAACCTTGGTTCGAGTGATCGTAAGCTAATTTAGTTTAAACTAAATAGAAGGATAATCAAAAATAGATCTGCAACTAGGGTTCTTGATTTCTAAAGGACTAACTTAAAAAAATTAAGGGAATTAGTTAGGGAAGTAGACTGGGCCAAAGAACTCAAGGATCTGAATGTGGAGGATGCTTGGAATTTAAGTCAAAGCTGCAGAAACTATCTGAAGGTTGCATCCCAAGCCAGGGGAAAAATTCATAGGGAAGGGTTGCAGACCAACCTGGATGAGCAAGCATCTCAACCAGGTGATTAAGAGAAAGCAGAAGGTCTACAAGGAATGGAAGATGGGATAGATCAGCAAGGAAAACTACCTCTTGGAGGTGAGAAGGTGTAAAGATTAAGTGAGAACTGCCAAAAGTCAAGCAGAGTTGGACCTTGCAAAGGGAATTTCTATAGGGAAAGGTTCTATAGTCAGATAAACAAAAAGAAAACAAGGAAAGAAGAAGTGGGACCACTAACCTCTGAGGGTGGGGTAGAGTTTAAAGATAATCTAGGCATGGCCTAACACCTAAACAAATACTTTACCTCTATTTTTAATCAGTCTAATGAAGAGCTTAGAGGTAGTGGCAGGGTGGCTAATGGGAATGAGGATATGGAGGTAAAAATGACCACATCTGAGGTGAAAGTCAGACTCAAACAGCTTAATGGGACTAAATTGGGAGATCCAGATAATCTCCATCCAAGAATATTAAAGGAACTGGCACATGAAATTGCAAGCTTAATAGCAAGGATTTTTAATGAATCTGTAAATTCGGAGGTTGCACCCTATGACTGGAGAATTGCTAATATGGTTCCTATTTTTAAGGAAGGGGAAAAAAGGGATCCCGGAAACTACGGGCATGTTAGTTTGACCTCAACTGTATGCAAGGTCTTGGAATAAATTTTGAAAGAGAAAATAGTTAAGGACATAGAGGTGAGCAATAAGTGAGGCCTGGTCCACACTAACCCCCCACTTCGAACTAAGATACGTGAATAACGTAGCTGAAGTCGAAGTACCTTAGTTCGAACTTACCGCGGGTCCAGACGTGGCAGGCAGGCTTCCTCGTCGACTCCGCGTATTCCTCTCGAGGAGCAGGAGTACTGGTGTCGACGGCGAGCACTTCCAGGATCGATCCCAGAAGATCGATTGCTTACCGCCGGACCCGGAGGTAAGTATAGACCTACCCTGAGATAAAATACAACATGGTTTTACAACAGGTAGATCATGCCAGACCAGCTTGATCTCCTTCTTTGAGAAGACAACTGTTTTTTTTTGTTTGTTTGTTTTTTTGAGAACTAATCTACTTGGATTTCAGTAAGGCATTTGATATGGTTCGACGTGGGAAATTATTAGTTACATTGGAGAAGATGGGAATTACTATGAGAATTGAAAGGTAGATAAGGAACTGGTTAAAGGGGAGACTACAACGGGTCATACTGAGAGGTGAACTGTCAGGCTGGAGGGAGGTTACTAATGGAGTTCCTCAGGGATCGATCTTGGGATCGATCTTATTTAACATTTTTATTACCAACATTGGCACAAAAAGTTGAGTATGCTAATAAAATTTGTGGATGACACAAAGTTTGGTCATATTGCCAATACAGAGGAGGACCAGAATATCATACAAGATGATCTGGATGATCTTGTAAACTGGCGTAATAGGAAAGGTATGAAATTTAATATTGCAAAATGCAAGGTCATGCATTTAGGGCCTAACAACAAGATTTTTTTCTATAAGCTGGGAACATACGAGTTGGAAGTGACAAAGGAAGAAAAAGACCTGGGTGTATTTGTTGATAACAGGATGACTATGAGCCACTAATGTGATGCAGCTGTGAAAAAGGCTAATGCAGTCCTAGGATGCATCAGGAGAGGTATTTCCAGTAGAGACAGGGAAGTATTAGTACCATTATACAAGGCACTGGTGAGACCTCATCTGGAATACTTTGTGCAATTCTGGTCTCCCATGTTTAAGAAAGATGAATTTAAACCGTTACAGGTGCTGAGAAGGGCTACTAGGATCATCCAAGGAATGGAAAACCTACTTTATGAGAGGAGATTCAAAGAGCTTGGCTTGTTTAGCATAACCTGCAGTTATCCCTACTAATCCATCCCTCCTGGGAGCACTGGGAGCTTTCCAAAGCCATCAAACAGCAAAATAGACCAACTGAAAACCAGAATCTCCTCAGCTGAGGGGAACAATCCTGACCTGGCAGAGGGGAGGTGAAAAATGTGACCAAAGATGATTGCTCTCTATAAATACATTAGAGGGATAAATACCAGGGAGGGAGAGGAATTATTTAAGGTAAGCACCAATGTCAACACAAGAACAAATGGATATAAATGGGCCATCAACAAATTTAGGCTTGAAATTCAGATGATGGTTTCTAACTATCAGAGGAGTGAAATTGTGGAACAGCCTTCCAAAAGGGAGCAGTGGGAGCACAAAACCTAACTGGTTTCAAGACTGAGCTAGATAAGTTTATGGAGGGGATGGTACAATGAGTCTGCCTACAATGGCATTTGGCTGATCTGCAACTGCTAACAGCAAATATCTCCAATGGCTGGTGATGGGACACTAGTTGGGGAGGGCTCCTGACTTAATACAGAAAATTCTTTCCCACGTGTTTGGCTGGTGGGTCTTGCCCACATGCTCAGGGTCTAACTGATCACCATATTTGGGGTTGGGAAGGAATTTTCCCCCCGGGTCAGATCGGCAGATTTGCCTTTCTCTACAGCATGGGGCACGGGTCACTTGACGGTTTCAATTAGCGTTAATGGTGGATTCTCTACAACTTGAAGGTTTTAAATCATGATCTGAGGACTTCAGTAACTCAGCCAGAGGTTAGGGGTCTATTACAAGACTGGGTGGGTGAGGTTCTGTGGCCTGCAATGTGCAGGAGGTCATACTAGATGATTGTGGTGGTCCCTGCTGGCCTTAAAGTCTGTGAGTCTATAATGTATTCACTTCTCTGTCAAACAGAACAAAACTGAAGAGGTGACTCTGCAGGATTGTGAATTACATTTTAAATTCTGAATTTCAATCCACAAATCTCTCTGTTCAGAAAATCTTTCTCTGCTGTTTCAGTCCTGAGGTGTGAGATCCCAGATATCTCTCTTCGCTATGAATTGATGCCACTGTAGGCCAAATTATTTATTTTCCATTTTCTTGGACAGCATTGTGAGCAAAACTGAAGTTCTCTGGGTTTTGGCCTCTTTTAAAATTATAATCAGTATTCAATTAGTAACATTTAATTATATATTGCACACTCTGCTCTAATTTTCCGGTCATATTTTTTCACCTACGCATTCATGCAACAGTGCACCAGGTAAGTACCTAGTTAGAAATAAAACACAGAAAATGGAGGCAAGAAGTGTCTGATGGAAAGAAGGAAATCCTATTTTATCACTAAATAATCAATTTTGCTTTGATTTATTGGTGTAGTTTCCAACATCCAAATTGCCCTTCCTGCAATAAACATTTATGTCTACTAATTCACTTTGGAGGTAGTCCTGCAGTTTAAAGCCAAAACTGCTTTAGGAGGGCTGAAAAAACATTTCCCCCATAATTCCAGTGCAAGCCATAATAAGACAGTTATTGATCTGCCACTACATGAGACCTTTGAGGTTGAGATTTGTGGAGGAGGGGCAGTGAGAAATGCACATTATGAATAGTGAGAAAAAATTGACCTGCATGTAAGATCTCTGTTTAGCTGGGGTACTTTGTTACTGTCTAGATAGTTTGCCTGCAGCTGTCAATAGCTTATAAATCCAAAGTCAACTGCTTTTCAGGCAGCCTTTGAAAAAAGATAAAGTGCAGCTGATTTATTAGAAAGGTTTTCTCATTTCTGTTCAACTGAGTTTATATATTGGAATACATTAGAGACTTCAAAAATATTGTGTATATTAACCAAAAGAGAAAACTACCCTCTGTGAGGAAGGTGAACCTCTTACTCCCACTTTGCCTTGGCCAAGCTGGCAATGGGAGAAAATCCTTCCCAGTCCCTGAGAAAGGAGTGGCCAGTGCAGTGCCCCCAGCGGATCCTGACCAAACCTGGTCTTTCACCAGGCCATTTCCAAGGCTGGGAGGGTGGGTGCTGCTCCACTTGGTCTGGATATGAGAGAGAGCTTTTCTCTCATGGCTTACCCCCCTACCTACTCTCCCCACCCTTCTAGTCAGGTCACCTGGGGAGATGCGTCCTCTACCTCTTAAAGAGGTATACCCCTTCCCCTGGCAAGCCAGACAACTGCCTCCATGCTTAAGGTGTGGAACAGTCCTTCTTCAGGCAATCTCATGGAAATCATTGGAGTACTTGAGGAATAAGGTACTTCTCAACATAAGAAAGGATATCAGTGTCTTGCCCCCAGTCCTCCTGTGCTTCAGTTTCTCCATATGTAAAATGGGGTTGATGGTACCTACTTAGCTACTTTAATGTTTGTAAATCATTTTGATATCCTCAGGTGGAAGGTGCAAGAGAAATGTAAAATATTGATGGAGCTTCTCTCCTATGCTAATAGGTGCCCTAAAAATAAATAAGGTAGATTAACACCCTTCCATTCATGGAAGGAAAATAACATTAAAAACTAAATGGTAATTACTTAGCCCAGTCTGAATACTATACCACTATATTTCTTTGCATCTCTATGTGCCAAGCAGAGGTTAACCAGATTGATGATACTCATTCTTGGCTGCATCTCTGACTTTGAAAAGAATGAAATGACTCACTGTAGCAATCGCTCCTGTTTTAAAATCCAGGTGGGAATAAGATAGCAGACCTTGCATAAATGTAATTTTTCTGTACACTGTACTGTGTAATAGTTTT